GAAGCAGCAGCATTAAAAATTATGATTCACGCTAATTTATTGCCCTGGTGCCTAAGGACCAACCCAGAGCAGGTTCCCTCTGTGCTAGGCATTGTATCAAGCAAGGCATGACACTCCCAAAGAAAAGGAGAAAGTCAGAAAGGGAAAAGAGAAAAAGGGAGAGGGAGAACAAATACAGAAGATATTTTGGGTGGATTGCTTTCCTCTCCTTTCTCCCCTGCTGACTGTCATCTTTATCCCACCCACAAACTCCTTCCAGCTCTGGCTAGGCATGTGCATCCAATTTTTCGCAAATCATTTCTTTAGCAAAGAAATGCAATTTAAAGGGAACTGCAGCTATCCACACAGAAGCCTGTTTCTGTAAAGTGCTTGAGAGAAAAGAGAGAAAGAAAACACAAATCTAGTGGATGGAAACAGGTGAATGTTTCATTTTGGCTTCTGCTGCAGAAACTTTTTTTTTCATATCAAGATTTCATTTTCCATTTTTTCTAACTGTCAGCTAATGATTTTATAGTGGTGGTCCACTCTTGAGGGCTGTATATATTCTTCCCCTTGCAGAGTCAGAGCTCAGCTCCCAGCTTGACAGCTGCCCTGATTCATGGGCATCTCCAGGCACCCTCTTGACTCCCCGTCCTCCATGGACATCTCCACCCCCACCAACGCAGGTCACTCTCAGTGGGAGGATACTTCATGTTTGATATACTTTTAAGACTACCTGTACTGGTTTTCCCCTTGAGTTTTGAGGGGCAATCGCAGATGTCCTTCCAACCTGGACCTTCAGCAATGGATCTCATGGTTTCCTAATTTGGATGTACACATTATGAGGCATTAAAGGAGGAAGGGAGCATATGCTGCATCCCTAAGCATCGCACAAAACACCTGGAGACCTTAGACAACAAAGAAGGACCAACAGGGTATTTTGTACTTGATGTGCACAGGCCACTCTAGATATTCCTAATTTTCATTCCACCACTGCCCACAGACAATCTCTATGCCTCAGCAAGTGCAGCTCCCACCAGCCCTCAGGCATATTGTCCAATGCTTTGCAGTCAGAAAGAAGACAAACCTCTCTTGTCCCACTCTCAAAAGGCAAAAAGTGCTAGAGTGGCCTTGCTTACCTCTGGGGAGGGAAACTGGGATTTGTTTCCATCGACTGGGGCAACCAAGAGCATGTCCTGCAGGATTGTTGTCATGTGGTGAGCCATGACCTTCTGCTGGTCGACGCTGCAGTGGTTCTCCAGGGAGATGATAACAGGGTATGGTGAGGTCTAGAACAAGACAGCAACATACATCATCAGTGATCTCTGCAATATCACAAGTCTATAGCAGTTGGTATAAACCCCAATGTTGTTTTTTCTGGAAATGAGTGTGTCATACAGTAGGATCTAGTATTCTGCTAAAATAAGCATGTGTTAAAAATGGACAAATTTAACTGTGCAGTAGCTACTCAGATCTCTGCTGATGCCTTCAAGAGATGATGACCAATGGATGGGGCACCAGGATGAATCAGGATGCCTCCCACAGACTTTCTGGGGCACTGTGATGAGGTTCCCTGTGTCTCCATTCTCCCCGTGCACTGTGGGTCAGAGCACCTTCCAACCTCAGAGCAAGGACTGGAAAAAGGGCTTTGAAATCACTGGGTTTCCTCAAATCCTTAGGTGATATGAATCCTTCCTCCATTCCTACATAGGCCTAATCTTGTTCCCTGTGTCCCCCAAGTCATTTTGTGGGCTGAAGGCATTGTCACTGTCACTCCTTTGTAACCCCAAAAGGAAACTTGATACCAGCTCCCAAGTGCACTGAAGAAAACAGCAGAAAGTCCAGTGAGTCTGGACAGACCCAATGTTTTCTGAAAGCTGCTGGCCCAGCACTGCCATACATGACTCCAGACTTGCTAATTCCTTTAAAATCAGAATAGAAGCAGTCCTTTGCATCCAAAACATGCACATGGATTCCTCTAAACTAGAAATGGACCCTGAGAAATCTAAGCCACACAAATGAGGGGTTTGTTTGCATTTCCCTCCAGGAATTGTCAAGATACTGGGCATTATTTTCATTGCAGTGGAGTCCTGCAGCACAGGATGCAGCTGTGCTGGTACAGATTCAAACTCAACCTCAGATTGTGCTCTGCCTGTCCAGCAACTCCTAGGAATGGATCTCTGCAGGAAATAGAGCATGGATGCCTGGACAGGACACAATTTGTCCCCATGAGAAATGCTAAGGTGAAGCCTTCACTGTTTAGTCTCTCTGCTGAGAGGGCAGAGATATACTATCAGTCCTGGACTGTGCAACCTGAGAATTCTTAGAGGGTCCCTCATCCTTACTTTGAATGCATAGTTCTTGATGGCCTTAATGACATCGCTGAAGAGGATCTTGGAGGTGAGAGTGTAGCCGTGATAAATGATGGGCTCTGAGTTAGGGCCATCCCAGCAATCCAGCTCCACACAGCGGCAGCCTTTGGTGAGGGCTCTGGAAACAAAGAAGGAACCTGGTTGGGTTCTAAACCTTCTGCTCCATCTCAAAATGAGGGTACATCAGGCACAGGTACTGCCTGAGAAGACTGACAGGAAGTTTAGCATCAAGGGAGAAAAAAGGAGCTTGGAAAAACAGGAAAGCAGATGGAGAAAGGATAGGATCAGGAGAACTCAGCATCAGCAAAGAGAGCTCAAGGTTGAGCAAGGAAAGCACAGTAGGATCTGAGAAAGGAGGCAGTGGAAGTCCAAGGTAGAATTATTCAAAGAAGAAGACATAGTGAGTGCCAGATCAGAGAGGACAGTCCCAACTGTGCCCCAGGTCTTTCCCCAAAGATAGTGAAAAGAAATCAAGAATGGCTGCATTGGAAGAATGACAGTAAGACAGTCAGGCTTAGAAGCCAGGTCTCAAAGCCTGGATGATGTGATTTCTTCACCTAGATCTGATATTACACGAGAGACGAATCATCAGAGCTGTGAGGGAGGGAGTTGTGGGAACTCCACCAGAGCTGGGGAAACTGCTGAGGACCAGTTTCCCAAACTGAGTCTACAGACTGAATTTCCACTTGAAATTCTCACCTCTACATATTCATACTTTAATTTACTTCCAAATGTAGGTTCCCTTATCTGTCCAGGAGGTGATCTTGTCTCTTTTACAGTAACTCCTTTAACTCATTGCAATAGGATCATAGAGTAGTTTGGGTTGGAAGGGACCTTGAAGATTATCCAGTTCCAATTTCCCTGCCATGGGCAGGGACACCTTCCACAAGACCAGGTTGGTCAGAGGCCCATCCAACCTGGGCTTGAATACTTCAAAGGATGGGGCAACTTGTGCCAGATTTCACTCTTTACACTTTTGACCTTGTGAGTCTAGAAAGTCATTGCTCCTAAGAATCAGGAAGGTCATAAACAAAGACAGAATTGCAGTCATTGACTTGAAGAAAACACTGTCTCAGCTGATAAAAGCACAGGTGATAGCAGAAGTAATGTAAGGTAGTTGTGCAAGTTAGTAAAGGTCACTGCACTCATCTGGCCATGAGGTATCAGACAGCAGTCACTGTTAAGGCAGAAGTAGGCAATACCTAATGTTCTGTCCAGGGAACCTATGGGAGTATCTCAGCTGCTAAAGAGGGACTAGGCATAAGTTTCCTGATCACCCACACTGCTCCATCAGCTCACATCCTTACTTATTTTTTTGATTGCTCCAACTAGGTCTCTCCAAAATAAACCTCAACATGGTTGCAGGGACAGTCCATGCCAGGGGCTATCCCAATAGGTAGTGCAGAGTGTAAGCATCATGATAGTACGCATCATTTTGTCTCCTGATCCCTACACAGACCTTCAGCTCTATCCCAGAAATCTTTGTACCTTGTAAGCTCCTTGCACTCTCTCATGCCATATTCTGGGGAATGCAATATACCCCCTTCAGCATCATACTTTGAAAGCACCCTGCTAGAGGGCTGCAATCCAGCCTCCACACGACTGCAGATATTTTAAACTCCTCTCAAATGTAGTAATTATACCTCTTACAGTCAGGTGGACAACGCATGGGGCCCAGCAGAGACTCAGGTCAAAGTGCTATGAAAAAGGGGGCACGGCCAATTCGGTTTAGAAACAGATCACCCTGATGTGAACATCAGCCAGTTTACATTACCTAGTCTCAGGGTGGGAGACTGCTGCTTCATCCTCTTGCATCTAGCAGTATAGATGCACCTTACGTTTTCTGTAAGAAAGAGGTTAATGTCCCACACTCACAAAAACACACATACACTCATAAATACACACACATACATACTTTACCTGATATAGGCTTCTGTGCTGCTTGGACCTGTGAGTTGGTCTTCCATAAGATAGGTATTGTGCGAGGATGACACCAAGTAGTGACTGAGAGGTTGAGTCATGTCCTGGTATACTTTACGGTGGGAGGAGTTGAATATATTCCCCTCATCAGACAGCAGGTACATCAGGAAACCATCTTTGGTCATGGCATTACCCCTCTTGGCTGCCAGAGAAATAGACAGAAATCCCACACTGAAAATCTGACACCAGAAGTTTGTGCCATCATCTTCACCATGATGCCTGCTGCTCTCCAGGGGATCTCAAAGACAAAACATGCTCCCTAGGCATTCAGCTAATAGCAAAGACACTGATGCTGTTCAGATGATGATGACAGCTTCAGCTGCCTGAAAATGCTTTTAAGGCCCCTTCACAAGCTTTGCTCTTTATGACACTTACTGTCCTCGATAACATCTTAAAAGTGTCAAAGACAGCAATTACCTCATCTGTCTCTTGAGATTTAGAGTATAAAAATCTCCATTTGAGCATTTCAAGCTTCCTTCATGCCAACACAGAGTTGTCAGATGTCTAAAGAAAGCCAGATAAACCCTGTCTCCAATTATCCAATGCATATGTAATCTACAAAGAGTAAATGCAAAAATACCCCCTACCTTGGGGTCAAATTGATTTCTCCCCATCTTGAGGGAATGACCTAGATCTCAGTCCAATCCTGAAGTCTGACAGTTGGAAAGCCTTGTCCCTCTCCTGAAGGAATAACAAAAGTGCAAAACCAGCCCATGATCCTGAATTGTTTTCTTGAATATGTCCTCCAAGGTGCTCCAGGCAATAATTCACTTAATTTCTGAGCAGACAGACAGTTCTGTGATTGCTCTCCTAAACAGCTCTTACCTTCTTGGCCCTCAACTCACAGCTCTCATCACCCAATGGCTTTTCAGGTGCCCATGTTTAAGGCCATCTGCCATTCCAACTTCTGGAGAACAGAAATATTGCCCCATTATCAACCTTGAAAAGCCATGTGAGGTCTCGTCATTTGAATAAGCCATCAGAGCTTTTCCCTCAGGATTTTCATCATCCTTTAGCCAACTCTGTATCAATTCCTCTCCAGCTGCATGGTTGTACCCAAGCTAAAATTGAATAGAAATGTTTTCCAGGCTCTCCTGTGCCCTCCTCTCCTAATGCTGATAAGGATTCCCTAGAAGACTGGTGTTTTAGAAGCAATTGTGAGGAGAAAATGAGGCACATGGCTGCAGAAGAAAGTGGCAGCAACATACTTTAGAGTTCATTAAAAAAGCAAAATTTTGAAGCAAACCAGTGAGGATTTCCAACCTACCTCTTTCATTGGGTTCATATCTCTGAATTAAGGCAGGGGCGGCAATAACAGCATCTTCTTCTTGCTGCACCTCATACAGGAACCTCACCAGGTTCTGACAGGACATGAACCCTTCTGCGTCTGAGTACATTTGGAAGATGTTGTCTATTTCCTTCCTCTCTGTCAGTATCTTGTAAAATTCCTCTATCTCATCATCCTCCAGAGCCTCTGTTTTGGACTTGTCACAGTGCTGTAAACGTAGAGGGGAGAAGGAGTGAAAACCTTCTTTCCTTCTGGCATACGCCAGCCGTAATCTGCACCAGGGCTACACAACGCAGAACACAAAATAATTGGAAAGAGTTACTGGCCAGTGAATGAGAAGCACTTGGTCAATGACAATGGTTCTCATTGACAAGGCCAACAGTCTTACAACAGCTACAATTACTATTATTTACTCATATTATCAATGTGCTCAAAAGCACCAGGCGTGGCCTTGAGCTCCATCACATGGTGAACGTGTGCGTGGCCTTGAGCTCCATCACATGGTGTACATGCGAACCTTCAGTTAGAAGGACAGCTCAAGATAATCTAACCACAAACCAAGGTTCAAGAGGAATGCAACTTTTGATCTCAAGAGGAACAATTAACTCTCATAAACTATCAATAGACACTGTGGCCTAAAATCCAGTAAAGTGAAAAAAACCTTCCCCTCGACCTCAGTGGCTCAGGCCTCGAGAGGCCATCAAGGCTAGTAGTAGGGTTGGTTGCAAAGATGGCATCAAAATTAACTTCAAAGAAACACAACTGCTAAACAGGTGCATGTTTAGGTATGAAAAAAATCCATCTAAACAGGTGCATGTTTAGGTATGAAAAAATTCATCTTGCCATGGAAACTTTCCATTCAAATCCAAAACTCACCAAGTACCAAAATCTCCACAAAATTTCAAATCAGATATCATCTCAAGAAGCTGTAATTCAAATTCTCCATGCCCCTGCATTCCTCTGTGGTTTGAACCTTTCCACTAGATAACAGCTCTGACACAGCACCACAGCCAAGGACTTGACTGACCATGAAATATTAGGAGCTTGAGATGTGTGTGTTAGTGTTTCCATAAAGGACAACTGCTTTTCCAATAACAAATGTTTCCAGTTTATTTAAGATACTTCCAGGTTCAATTTTTCATCAGAAATGACAATTTTTTCTGTGGTAAATCCTGGTATTAATTTTTTTATTTGTTCCTAGCAGAAATCTTCATCTTGTCAAACCAGAGGAATTAAACTGTTTTATACCTTTGATCCCTGATGACAGACAGTGCTATTTTCCTGGATTTTATGACCAAAATGCATGTCTCAGTTTAACCAGTCATGATACTAATCTCAGCCTCTCTGCCAATGATCTCAGTGATGGCCACGGTGGCTTTGGCAGCGCACCAAGCAAGATGATAATGAGGGACTTTGATCCCCTGCAAATCTTGACCAGAGTCCTTCATTTTCTGTTTATGGAGCATATATAAAACCAAGGGTAATAATCATAATGTGCAGCTTTTACAAACTGAAGCAACTATAAAAAAGTTCAACTTGTCTTACTTCAGAATCTGACGAGAAGCTATGGGCTCATCTCAGGGATAGGACAACCTGTGACATGCTCAGTACTCCAGATGGCTACAAATTAGGCCTGAGAGTCCAGGAACTGTCTTTTCCTTGCTGCCTTCCATGACTATGATCCTGTGCTGTGGCTTTGGAAGATCTCTCAAGCTAAGCTGAGCGTGATGCTTAGCAATTGCAAAAGGAATATAAAGAGGGAAAGCAACTGGTGGAGACTTGAGGTTGTGTCATGAATTAGAGGTGTTCTTTTCTTTAAGACATGACAGGAAAATGACATATTACTTCCAGAAAACTGGCATTTTAAGTGATGTGCCTTGGAAAGTTTCTTCACTAAAGGTTGTGAAATTAAAGGGTGTAATGAAAACAGGACAAGAGCATTGTCATCATAGTCCATTGGATACAAGAGCTCCAAATTAGAAAGAGAATGACAACCCAAAACATGGATCACAAACCATAAGTTCTGAATGAACCTTGGCCCACCAGAAGATGCACCTTTCTAATGCCCCAGAATGAATATTCAGGTTGAAATGAAGTGAGCAAAAAGAGGAGCCTTGAATGGTTTCTGGCTGCATTGCATATGTCTTACTCAGGTGTGCCTAAAACCTAGATGTGGACACATCATTTATGATGAAATGCAAGAATAATATGAAAACATGCCCTGTATCCCTGTCTTGAACCCCTGATCACCCTTCCTTCCTCTGACTAAATGAAGAAAAACTCACCAAGGCAGAAAGATCATCCTTTTAATAGGCCGTAATGTCTATCTAAGTTGAGGCAGGATGTAAACTGAAAATGTAATTGCTTTAGGAGCAAGACAGACCCTTCCTGGAGGCAGGTCAGCCCTCAGGAGATCGGAATTAACCTCTAAAGAGCTTCTTCTTCCAGTGGCTATACAGGAAACTTAACAATTACACACCTAATGAGGGTACTTCAACTAGCTGGCTGCATTTTGATGGGTTGAATCAAGGTTTAATAATTACTAGGAGTCCTTAAGCAAAAAGAATTGAACTTCATTGTTTCCTCTCCTAGAGCTCTCTTGTAACTATTGTGACAGCAAGAGGTTCATTAAATGAGGAGCTTATGCCTCTAAAATAAACAAATAAATAAAAGGTGGATATTTTTCATATTTTTGATGTTTGAAGATGTAGGGAGTGATTCATCTGACATATGGGAGATGTATCCTTTAGGATGAAGTGAATCATACTCTGATCTCTATTGGTCTGACCTGCAAAGACTGCAAAGGCAGGGTAAATGTTGGTGACTACTTCCAATGGAGATGTCTGCACTGGAGACACCTAAATCAGAGGATTTCTAGCTTTATTTCCATTCTTCCAGGTTCTTCCTAAGCAGAGAATAAAGAATGGATGTTATAAAAAAGAAGTACTGCCAGAGCAGGCAGCACATCTGTAAGATTTTGCAAGCAGAAATTCTTTAAGATCTGCTGATGACCTTCCCCCAATTCTTGCAGAGTTACCAGAGAGAGTCCATAAAGTAAGGATTAGGAAACTTGGACCTCCTTTCGGGGAAGGCTATCTGCTTACAGGAAGGAGCAGGAGAACTACTGCCCGTGCCCAAAACCACCCACATGTTTAACGCCGATCAGAAAAAGCATTTCTGAAACCGCACACCCATGAATTCAAATCCTGCTTCAGACAGGATGAAAGTTTGGAAATTATCCAGATATTTTATCTCACCTCAGCAGGATGGATTCTTTAGAGAGAAACCAAAAGCTTAACAACTGAAAAATTTTCATCCCTTTCTTATCTTCTGATAGGCTCAGCCAGCAAGTCGAATTGTGAGAATTTAAAAGTGCACATCCCTGACCAGATTAAATATGCCTTGGGAGTATTAAATCAACCAGACTGGTCCAGGCTTGGGTGCAATGTTACGTATCTATCATAAATCTGGGCAGGTTTTTTACTTAATTTGCACTTTCTTTTTGTTTATACCTGTCACTTGTTACCCTCCTCCTCTGAGAAGGTGGGGATGTGGGTTCACAGTTGCAACCAAACAAATTTCAGCCAGACTTAGCCAGACTGGTGGTGGCACACAGAACTCCTGAAACACCTCAGACTCAAACTGCACTTGAATTTTGCTTTTCCCTTTTTCTCACATTATCCATGTTTGCATCTCACCTCCTGCATCATGGCAAAATTGGGCAGCAACAGTGAAGACAGATCTTAACACACCTTACTCAAAAGCATTTTGCTGGCATAACTTAGTGGGAATATGCTGAGCACTGAAAACTGAGAGTCCTTTCTTGGTACCAGAAAAGACACTAGGACTTCACATTAGCTAGGACCTCACTTGAGTCTCCAACTCAAGCTAAAACTGTGGGAAACCTTAACCTCAGCCAACAGCACTTTATCTGCTTGCTGTCATTACCTGGAAAATCTCCTTGGCATGATAGTCATCAACTTCAATGTTCACTTCTTTCAGGAAGTTCTTAAGCTCTTTCAAGCTCATCTTGTTGTCTTTGTTTTTATCAGCCTTCCGCAAGCAGGTGTGAATCCAGCTGCAGGGTGATGTAAGGAAATCTTTCCAGGTCAGTGCCTAGCCTAAATATCAACCTTCTGCTGCACATGGCAGGGGGGGAAATCCTCTTCTAAAGGCTCTGAACCACCTATCTATCCAGCTGCTGTAAATCAGCATGCTACCCCTGAACAGCTGACATCATCTCACCTTCTGCTCTGGAAGAGCAAAATGGTGCTTTGGCAGAAGGAAAATGTGCTGTGATACAAGTGATCATGACCCAGGAGAAGCTTTTCACCATCTGGCCAAGGCTGGATCCAGCTCTCTTTACCCTGTAGGAGTTTCTGGCCACAGCCAGAAACGGTCTGATTTCTCTTTTATGACAGAAAGTACATTCTACTCCAGACAGTTAAAAGGGGATAAAGGAAAGAATGAAAAGAGCTCCCAAGAGGAGCTTGGTGAACTCATGGTTATGGATTTGGTCAATATTCAGTATATCATGGTGAATACTGAAGAGAGATTCTCCAAAAGAAGCATTAATATTAATTTTTGATCTCACCTTCAGCTTCTGTGTATTTTGAGGGATTTCCACCTATATATCCTAAAAACTTTGTGGTGATCAGAGTCAAACCAAACTTTGTGGGTCTTGGCTTCCCCTCATGAAATGCACAGGGTCTATTACTGTGTTGGACTGTGACAATAGTTCATAAAATCTTGGTTTATAATAACTTTAGCATATCTACGGATCTGGAGTAATTGCCATAAAAATGAGCCTTTTAATGTGATGTCAGATAATTTAAACTGGGGCTCCCATTTTCTTTCACTCTCTTAGGAAAATAATGTTGAGATACACTGCAGTTTTAAACAACAAAACCCCATGCTTTTTGCATCATGGTACTGACTGTCTAATTTGCTTTACTGTCAAGTAAGAAAGGTCATCCAGAGAAACATATATTTTTCAACAGAAAAATGATCAAAGTAAAAATGATACAGTAAAAATTTGATGTCCATGTATGTAACCTTCCACGTCTTTCATAGGAAGCATTGCTTCAAACTCACCCTAAATAAAATCTTCAAAAAAATGCCCAATCTGACTGTTAATTGAGGTAAAGCTCAGGATTAGCAAATACCAGCTGAGGCATAGAGTACCATAACATTTTAACTGGGCCTTTCAAAGTGACCCCAAAAAAGGGCATTAACAGCCTTAGGGGTTGTAAACATAATCCTGAATCAGAGCGTTCACCACAACTACCACGACATTCAAGTATTTCTTAATGAGGGAGATATGTGTAAACTGAAAGTATTGTTTGTCTCATGGAAAGCTGAACTTTCTGTCTTTAAAAACCTTGGCAGGTGCTAAGCAATGACTTCACCCTGCATCCGTCTTAGCCTGGTAATATTAATATTCCCCTTCTTTAGGCATGGAAACCAAAATAAAGAGAAGCTACATTTCCCCAGCTCCCAAGGACACTCCAGGGCCCTGAAACAGGGTCTGCCTTGGACCGATTCTTCCCAGAAAACCAAGTTTGAGTCATGAAGTTCCCATGAGCAGAGGATGCTCTGCTGGGAGCACACCACATCCATCCTGGGGTGCAGAACACCCCCTCCACCTGCTGTGCTCCAAAGGGTCTGCTCAGACTGTCAATGTGGTGCCCACAGTGGTGCCATCCATTCACACCCAACCTGCACCTCAGGGGCTGCCCCCACAGCCTTCCCTAAAAATAACAGGCTGGAGTAACACCCAACTCCAGCGAGCCAAGAGGAAATCCAGTCTGCCACAGCCAGAGGTGAGCTGCAGGATTGGATAACACTAACTAATCACTGTAAAAAACCCACCATTTTTTTAAATGTCTGCATTCCTTTCACTGATCATGAGCACCCAGAAGTCACGCATATGCCCAAAGTCGACTCTGGAAGGCATTATGTGGGCAGTAAATGCATCTGCAAAAGAGTATGCCTGGGTTCTGCCTGTGAATGGAGGATGCTTTCCTGTTACATCCCTTCCTGGGAGGCTGAGAAATGCAGGAGGGAAGCCAGAGAGCCCAGGAAGAGCCCAGGCACACAGTGGTCCCTCTCACTGCAAGGACAAGCAGCAAAGAGAGAAAAAGAAGAGTAAAAAAACCTGGGGCTACAGCCTGTTTTTCAGCAAATAGCAGCATTTTGACCCCAACACACCCAAACTCCCCATCCATCTGGATTCCCTGAGCTTTGAGAAAGCTTTAGAGGAGCTGGACGAACTAAGCACTTCAACTGAAATTCTTTGCATCTGATACAAACACCATTTTTCAGCCCTGGCTGTGGGTCTTCCTTTCACCTTACGTGCCTAATGTGGGCCTGGGTGGACTAGGAAAAAGCTGTATCCATCCAGAGAGAGCCTGCTTCCTGCCTCTTGTTTTTAAAGGATATGCCAGCTCCAGGGCTACCATTTTCTATTAGAAACCAAAGAGGGATGACTGAAACCATCTGGCAGATATCCCATGAATGTGCTCAGAACAGAAATGCTGCAAAACTTCTGGTAAGTGCTTTCAAACCAGAAGAAAAGCTCATACAAAAACCCCAGAACCGAAGCAGACAGTGCCATACTGCTCAAATGAAAAGTCCTCTGTATTTTCTGATCTAAAACCTTCCCTGCACACATACCTGCAATATTTGCTAAATAGCCTATGCCAGCTTGCTGCAGGGTTGAATCTGAGGCTTAATAAAACAGAACTGTATGTATAAGAACATCAGAAATGCCCATCAAGCATGTGGAAGTTTTATCTATGTAAGAATATAGGACTGGAAAGACACATAAGACACTGAACTTATTCTCTTACTACCACAGGCCATTCCATCATACAATAAACTGAAAAAGCCTCACTGGAAACTAGCAGGGTTTTTGCTTTCAATACTTGTTTTCAAAAACTTGCACATTCCTTACTTGTTTAGCAAGGGTTTGGGAGGCTGGAAAAGATACACTGCAAGGCAATTCTCCAGTCATGGGGGACAGGCAGGGGACACTCTTCCCCTACTCTGCTGATGGATGCAGAGAACACTCCTGAGGTTTAAGGAAGATCTGAGTAAGCCCACGCAACCAAGCAAACCCAGTGAAGACAGACTAAATTTAAAATCCCAGGCTTTAATTAAACATCATCAAATTTCAAATGAGAAATCATGCTGCTCTGTAATTCCAGGTTACGTTAAATGGCCTGAGACAATCCCAGATTGGAAGCCAGCACTGCACGGTAATTACTCTTCCAGAAATATGGTTTGCCTACCCACCCTATTTAGCTTAGATCCTGCTTTCCAAAGACAGAGAGGCACTTTTCCATGCTGGAAATTTACAGCCTTCTTCCCTTGCAAATGTCATTGTTATTTTTCCCCCCTTAACAATCTTGTCTTTTCTTACAGGGAAGTTTTTCAGCAATATATGCAATCTGACACACTCCAGGGACAACTTTATAGTGCCCAGATTTTCCCCTACACACTGTGGGGTGGCTGAGGAATGACCTTACAGTCCAGAGCTTGAAAAAGCATCCAAAAAGACACAGTGCAGGAGATAAACACAGCAACCCATGCACATCAGAACTAATGGAGTCTGAAGACACTATGGTCGTGGAGTGCTTATTAGACTTCAGAGAATCCACAGAAGAGTAAAGTCTGATGAAAGCTCAGAATTTAAGCACCACCTCCTTCACCATCAGTGCATTATTACCCAGCAGGGAACACACATGGAGTGAAGCCTTGACTGAGGGCAAGACTCCCTGGTGCCCGCTCAGGCTCTGACTCCAGCTTTGTGATTTTTCTCAGCTAAGGGTTTTGCATCTCCCCTCCTCTCCACACATGCTTTGATGTTGAACAAGCCATGAAGCTCACACAGCCTCCTCTCACTAAGAGTGATACCTGTTTTCCTCTCTGACAGCTGGATGCCTGTCTTTGGGAAGCTCAAAGGAACTTAATATTTTACGACTCTGCAGCTCTGTCAATCAGGGTGAAATCAGCCAACAGGTTTGGATGCCACAGTCAGGGTCTTGGACACACAGGGACTGCAGAAAATCCATCCAAAACTACATCCACAGATATTCACTCATTTTATATGTGAGACCCATGGTTGCAAAGCAACTTAATGAGTGAAATGCAGCCCCAGGGAAAATTCCCTGTGAATTCAGCAGAGCCAAGATTTCACCCAATAACTAACTCACTCTCCATTTCATAACGAGTTCACTCTCCTTTCCTGCTCTGCTCCTCTTCCTTTCTGATCTCTGCATTGTCCCTAGAGCCACTGCAAACTTTTTCAGGCAAAACTTCCTCCCATGCTGAGGCAAATAAGGAGTAATTTCACTAAAGTCAGTGGAGCTACCCCAGAGTAAATCTGGCAGTCAGAAGAGGAGAATCAGTTCCCTTGCCTTGTATTACTGAGAAACATGATAAACAGTACAGGCTTTTCATGCCTTGCCAAGAAGTGCCTGTCCTGGAGTTTACTGCAATACAAGTGAAACAGACCCCCGAAGAACACAAAAAATAATGATTGTTTTATCTGGAGCTCCATGAAAGAGGCAATTCTTTGCTTAAGGAGCTACATTAAGCCTGAATCCACTCTTGCTGGTATCACTGTAAAACAGGGGAAAAAAAGCATTGGAAACCAGGGAGCTTGCCTGGGTGCAAAATCAGTGTGAGAGCAAACAGTCCCCAGGGCCAACAGGGAAAAAAGGAGGTTAGTCTACTATCTCCACCCACAGGGAAAGACAAGTGCATCTTTGTCTGTGATTAATCACTGTATAAGGCAAAGGATACTGTTGGAGTTTCTGTTTCTGGTTCATGGAGTTGCTGTGGGCTATGATTTTCCCAAGGCCAGAGATCCAGTGGTTGGCATCATCCTCTGAACTTGCAATGAGGTCCAGGTTTTTCCGCTGGTCTTTGAAGATGATGGAAAAGCAGCGATACTCTGGGACATCCTTGGCATATTTTTCCATACCTTCTGTTTTATGGCCTGACCTCACATCCCGAATATCTTCAATGGAGACTGTGGAAAGAAAGCAGAGCCCACTGTTAGCAGGGGTTGTCAGCCTTATCTCTACTCCATGATGCATAGTAAGAAATTACTCTTTCTCCTTTTCCTGCAGCCTCTGGAGGTTTCTCTTCCCTTTCTCTCCTTCCTCAAACTTTGGTACTAAAGAAAGCTCAAATCAAAGGGACCAGAAAGAGAAACACGTTTTAAAAAGAAAAACTCCTTCCCTATGTTCTTTACTTAACAAAGAAGCAGAATATGCACTAGATGCCATACTGTGATATCCTGTTTATGAGATACAAATCACTGTCAGGAGTTTGGTTACAAGTCCTTAGAGCTCCTCTAATTTGAGCTCTGCCCCCATCTGAGAGTGCCTCCCTGTGAACATTATGCCACAGGAATATCCTAGAATCATAGAATGGTTAGGGTTGGAAGAGAACTTACAGATTATCTAGTTCCAACTCCTTTGCCATGGGCAGGGACACCTTCCACTAGACCAGGTTACTGAGCCCTCTCCAGCCTGGCCTTGAACACCTCCAGGGATGGGGAGTCCACAACCTCTCTAGGGAAAATGAGAGGTGACTTCAGTAAGAGGAGGGAAGGACCAAAACAGTCCTTCTTTAGGTTGCAAAAAAAAGTGAGAAGGTGAAATGTAGAATCCCATCTATTCTTCTTAGACACGCTAATACAAATCAAGTAAGCAAAGACCAAAGCTTCAGAGCAGTCTGGTGTCACCCATACTCCATCCTCACCCCAGTCAATGGTAGTTTATCCTCCTTGCTGTAAGAAAGCAAAACAGTTTTCAAGACCATCCTTCTCCATTTCCTATCTGCCCTTCAGCTGGTGGAAATGAGTCCTGAGGGTGCACCAAGTTTGCAAAATGCACACACAAGCCAATCCAGAAAGAGCAGAGTATTATAAGACTATGCTATTAAACAAGTGTAAGTAACAGAGACACCTCTACATTGTTCCCGAAAGCATCCAGGTGCCTTCAAACTGGGCTGAAATCAGGTAAGCTCCCAGCAGCACCCATGGCCTCTTTTTGTCTTTCACAGGCCACTTAACACATCTACAAAGCACTGGAACAGGTTCCCAGAGCAGTTGTGGCTGCCCCATCCCTGGAAATATTCAAGGCCCGGGTGCATGGGGCTTAGAGCAACCTGGTCAAGTGGAAGGTGTCCCTGTTCATGGCAGGAGAGTTGGAACTAGATGGTTTTTAAGATCCTTTCCAATGCAAACCAATCTGTGATTCTATGAAAGGACTGAGAGGAAAGGACAGAAATTGCTTAACCACATTTGATTGATGAGAAACTTAACACTGAAGTAGGGATGGTACCTACACACAGTAAGTGGCAAAAATGTTTTCAAAGTGTTGGAGTTGTCAGCCAAGAAATTTTCATGACATTTCCTTGGGTTGGAGACAGACCAGTAACATTTTGCAAACATCCACCAATACCTGGGCACACCTGAGAGATATTCAGCCATACTCTATAACAAGCACAAAAAAATAGATACAATCACAAGAATTTGAAAAAAAAAAGAAGTTTAACTTTTCTACTTCAAACTGTGAATTACAGGTAAAAAATATTTCCTATGTCACAGATGTGTGAGATCGATGTTATTTGTGCTTATCTTGAAGAAGCTTTGTTGAAAAACAGAGGGTGAGTGTAAAATAGCCCCAGGTTTTAGCTGAATAGGAGAAACCTGTCTTTAAACATCCATTTCACCATTAAAGTGCCCAGTTCATTCAAAGTCAACACTGCAGAAAAGTGTTCCACCCTGCAAGTTTTTAGCATGTCTGTCCTGGGATCATCCAAAATTCATCAGATGCTCATTGGAGTCTGAAAACTTTCCTTTTCTTTCCCAGAGGAGTCATGATAATGCTCAGCTGCTGGGGGGAAAAAAAAGATTTAAAAAATATCCAAAATTTCAGGTTTGAAAAATCAGTGGCTTTCCAAAACCAACACTTAACATTTGCTTTAAATTCTCAACAGATGTTGGGGTTGGTCAAACATCTTCCACAGCACTTTGCTGGTTTGGTTCCTATATAAAAACACACCATGAAGAGCTTCCTGGAGCTGGCAAAACTCCTCCCTGACAATTAGGAGCCATTATCTTTGTGTGGTCTTCGATTATCACTTCATAAAGGCCCATAGTTGATCAGTTCAAGGGAGGGGTGGAAAAGGTTGCCTTGGGATGGGCTGCTGAGGAATTCTGTTATCTGGCCAATTTACCTTAGAGTGAAAGTTTATGGGTTTGAGTACTAAAACCAGCCTTGAAAAAAAGGGCTGCAACTCCCTTGCAGCTGTGCTGCTAATGGAGAGCCTTGCTGGAGATTTGGCCTCTTAACTAGGACATTGGGCAAATGATAGCGATTGTGCCTCAGGTGGAACTTCATCCTTAATGTAAAGCATGTTGCAATGTTTGGACAGATTCAGTTCAGTCAAGGAGTGCAAAGTTTAGTTAGGCTCCTTTTATAGCCAATGGGGGAAAAATGCAGCTTTTGGAACATAAATGTTCTGTCCTATTTAAACAAAAACTTCAGGTTAAGATAAATCATACCCTTAATCCATGGCTACAGTGGACCCTTGACCAGAAAGGAAGCACAGGCTGAGTATCTCAGATGCAGAAGTGTCCATAAGTAGGTGATTCTCCTCCACCCTTGGTCTCTTCTGCTTATGGCAGAGCAGGTGGAAGGATAATCCTGTTATTCCTCATCACCTGCCAACTGCTCACCACTGCTTGGCTCATAGGAGTTATCATCCCTTCAGAATGGCTAGTTAGTCTGCTTGTGCAATAATCCCTAAACTTTGGGTTGGCAACAACTTTGTGTTTCCAAAACTAGAAAATCTGATGTTAAATATTGGAAATTTAGAATGGATTCTTTGGAAACCATTACGTGGCTTCATGAACCCACTGGAAAAGAGAGCTGTGTGGGAGGAAAGAAAGATTGAAAACCTGTGTCTGGCAGGGCTGCCTTGATCTCTTTGGGGCGTGCTGAGAAGAGGGTGATAGGGGTAACAGACCTCCTCAATGCAGAAAAGGTACAAGGAAGGGTGAAAAGCAAGATTGGTGTCTACTGTAATCACGTAAGAGACAATGAGAGAAACTATCAACACAGAACTTAAAAAAGCAGGGTAAGGAAGGACACTTTTTATAGCTTTCCATAGCTTGGTCATGCGTATTGTTTTCATCTATCAATAAAAAAGCTGAAGTTAAAGGAGTCAGCCCAAGCCATCTGCAAAAGTTATCTCTTTTCTGGAAAATCTTAACCCAGAGTGAGTACTTTATCAGCTGCTCCCAGACAGTGAGTGTACTACATTAGCAGTCCCAAACTAACTGTGTGTTCAGCTGAGCTACCTGTAAGGAGAAATCAAAAATAACTGGCAGACAGAGACATTTCCAGAGGAGGAACACTTAGAGCAAATGCTCATCAATCACATATCCCTGCAACCTCCCTGTTCTTTCCTGATCATGCCTGTGGAGAGATAACCACAAGCAGAAGAGAATCTGGAAAGTTTGCATCTCCTTCTCCTGAGTGTTTACGTCTGCTGAAGAGGTGGTTTGTATAAAGCCCAAAACATGACGCACAACACATGGAAGGTTGTGTCCTTCCTGGCCTCTAGACATCGAGTCACACAGGTTACAACTTGGTCAGCCTTCCTGGCTGCTGTGGATGCTACTCGAACAGTGCCACAGCTGAAGGCTCCCCACTGACATGGACACACAGCAGTGTTCCCTGGAGCCAGTGAAATTCCTCCTGTCTGAACTACTCTCAGGGAGATGTTGAGAACTTTCTTTTTAACCCTCCTTTCAATTTCCATCACCAGATCCTGCTGTTGTGCTACTCCCTTGCTAATTCTCAGCCCCGTGCCCTTCTCCTGTTTCACCCATGGCATCAGCAGGCAGGGATGAGTCAGGTCTGCAGGATGCGTGAGGCCAGTTTTGACAGCCATGGTATTCTCAAGCAACCAACATGTATCTTTTCTGTCTCTCTTTTGATTTGGATTTCTCTTTCAAGGATCCTGCTGTTACACTTGCAAGCCCATCTCCTCACGCAGAAGGAAGAGGAACACCCTTCACAGGAAAACCAAAGCTGTGATTCACACTGGTGTCTGTAATGAGACTTGAGTCTGCAAGTACCCAAGTCCAAACCAGTGACCCACAAAACCTTGCAGAGGAGGTGCAGAACTTCACCTGTGCCACTGTCTGACCCAAAAGCTCCTCATGACTCAGATGTTAATTTCTTCCTTCAAGTGGCATCTGCACAAAATGCTCCCCAACACCCTCCAGCAGGACCTGGGCTGGCCTGACCACCCTCCATGAGATACCCTCAAACACACCCCAGTGCAAGGATTTCAGCCCTACATACATGTGAAGGGGGGTAGCGTTTTTTTTTGCTGGAAAGAGTAGGGAGAAGGACATAAATCCAATCTCCCCATCACCCCACAAGCTGTAACCCCAGAGCATTCAGGCTTCAGGAGTGCATCCAAGTCCTATGTATGGCACCATGAGCCAATGACAGCCAAAAGTATCAGTGCTGAAGAGCCAGAAGGACAAGGCTGACAAGGTGCCTAATGATTAGAGCAGCTGCTTGAGAGATTAGCACTGGCCACTGGCCTCTCCATCTCTTCTCCTATCACTGCTCCTCAGGTGAAATGTCCACAATGGGCTGGGAGCATGGACAGCAAACTCTCTGGTAACCCTAAAGAATACTGTGAAAGGAAGAATGAAGGCAGAGAGAAATTGTCAAGAGTATTTGTCAAGAGAGAGAATAAGAAACTGAGTCTGCATCTCCTGCAAACTCCTGAGCACTTGAGGGCACTGCCAAAACAGCTGTCCTTGAGGTTCTCATCAGAAAAGAGGGGAAGCTTTTCACTCTGGGGGAAATAATCCTCAGATCCTTTCCTTATCCTCCCCCCTGTCATTAACAAGTGATCTCTGCAATGTGGCAGTCAGTCACATCGAATTACTCCATCCCACTCTAATTGTCTCAGTAAGTCACTTCTGTTTAC